CAGAGTGTTCCCTACCCTCCTGTGAAGCACGGGTCATACACAGAGTGTTCCCTACCCTCCTGTGAAGCACGGGTCATACACAGAGTTCCCTAGCTACCTTCATATGAATCGTGGGGCGGACGCAGAACCCTGCATCAGCAGAAGCCTGCATCAAAAACCCCTGCTAGCTAGGTCTGTCGCGAGGTAGCTAGTATGCCATTTCACTGTTCAAGCTGTTCCCATGATCTGTTTACAAATCGTGTTCCCATGTTACAATTCCCCTGTTACAATTCCGATTCGTTTACATACAAATAAGCTTGTGCCATAAGTTCATCTATCAACCACATTAGCATTGGACAGAGACACTCGGTCTTTGAGCAAGCAAAATGCGCCAGATGTTTATGTATGAGCTAAGCGGCGCGTGTAGACGCACACACCACTCGTACGTAGCATTAGCATTCCCGTCGTCGGCATACATGACGTACAATAGGCGGCAAAAAATGTTTCAATGGCGAGTTAAACAATACGTGACGTAAATCAGTGGAACGATCGGTCCAAAGTCAGAAACTAGCTAGTCCGTTTCCGGCCGTGCTGTTACGGGAGGGAAAGTCAAGCTGTTTGAGGCGATGCCACTGCCGTAACTTTTCATTGAAAGACAGAGAGAGACAGACAGACAGACAGATAGAGACAGAGATGCAGAGAGCGAGAGAGAGAGCGAGAGAGGTAAAGAGAAGGGGGGGGAGAGAGAGAGAGAGAGCGAGACCGCACGAGGCGTGCCGTTGCGGTGATGTATGCCTTTTAGCAGGCGCACAGCTATTAGAGGAGATAGATGTTCACGCGTGAAAGACACCCGACCTTGGAAGGTAACAGGTAAATAATCGGGGACATGTACGTAGTCGTGGATGGCGGTTGGTGAGGTACGGTGTGTGTGTGCTACGTACTTACCTAGCTGCTCATGATCATGCTGACGTCGTAGTGGAACTGATTAGCGTGCCAGACGTAATCTTCACATTCATTTGCTGGTATTTATAATGATTCAGTTATAAATAATATCTCTGAGGAGAGACGAAGACCCAGAAGAGAGAAAGAGCGAGAGAGAGATAGAGAGAGACGCATACAGAGACAAAGAACGAGACGGGGAGAGAGACAGAGATAGAGAGACGCAGAGATAAAGAGAGGTACAGCGGCAGCGAAACAAGAGAGACTAGAAAAACGAAGGCAGACGGGTTGATCACGCAATATATATACGTACCGCTGAAATTCTGTCTAGTGTTTAGTGTTTACCGAGGCAGCCCGTCGGCGGTTGGCAAACAGATATTCGTGTCCACCAGCTGTCTGCGTTATTAGTTGATGACGCATCATCACAAGTGACGGGTGAGCACGCTAGAGCAGCATCTTGTCTGGAGGTCGTTGCCGTGACAAGAAACCGTTCGCTCACGCACGCACACCACACTCACGGGTGTCTAGAAAAAACGAAGACCTACGATCTAAGACCTGGAAAACGAAGACCTAAGACCTAAGACCTGGAAAACGAAGACCTAAGACCTAAGACCTTGGAAACGCAAGACCTAAGACCTAAGGCCTCTTGGAAAACTAGAACCGCGCAGCACTTTGGTGAAATCAAATCAATGCACTGATCGAGTGTGTAGAAAATATATTAAGTATTATTCTTAACCCGGGTGCCTATTATGGAGGGAAATTCACACTGGGCGTAATCTCAGACCGGCTGAATTGTTCACGCAAATTATATCTAACCGGGTGCCCATAGGGGTAATCAGACTGGGGTCATCTCAGACGGTCTGGAATGTTCGCGCAAATTATATCTTAACCCGGGTGCCCATGGCGGGTAAATTCAGACTGGAGTAATTTCGTCTGCGTTTGTTACGAATGGTTACATGGAAAAGGGAATGAAGCAATCACTTCATACAGTCATGTACACAACATATATGATGAGCGCTCTCTGCGTATCACACTGTGTACATCGTGCATCAATAACGCCATTCGTTGACTTACGTATTAACAATCATGGTACGCGCGCGGCGTGCGCGTGATGGTGACACTGTTGCGTTGTGCGCGTTTGCAGGCACGTGTGCGTGAGTGTGTGTATGTTGCGTGTGCTGTGCGGTGTGTGTGTGTGTGTGCGTGCGTGCGTGCGTGCGTGCGTGCGTGCGTGCGTCGTTCAAACGTGCATACGTGTATGTGAGGGAGGGAGTCACATATACCAGCAGATTCAGTGCGCCCACCCCAATCAACACGCCACACGTATATACAGTTGTATAACACCACGTTCCAGGTCCACTTCGTTTTCCAGGTCTTAGGTCTTAGGTCTTCGTTTTCCAGGTCTTAGGTCTTAGGTCTTCGTTTTCCAGGTCTTAGGTCTTAGGTCTTCGTTTTTCAGGTCTTAGGTCTTAGGTCTTCGTTTTTCAGGTCTTAGGTCTTAGGTCTTCGTTTTCTAGACACCCCCACACTCACGCAAGCCCGCACGCACACACGCACAGGTGCGCACACTCACACACGCTCACACGCGCATGCATAATTGCCAGAAAATGACAGAATCACTAGGCAAAGTAGGAATATTATCACTGCAAGGCTTCCAGCCTTGACTGAAGCATCGCGTTCGGCTAGCGGGACTGACGACGTTACCGTATATACACGCGTCACGCCGACTCGCGGCTAGTAATCTCCGTCATTAGCGCTGCGTCTAACCGTAGATGCACGAGCGCGTGCTAATCCCGCTGATCTACGTGACTAACGCCGCTGTTACTCTACCTGCGGGAGGCTGGCGCGAAGTGTGGCCTCGCACACGATGATTGCGATGACACACCGACTAGGGGCATAGCAGCTGCGATCATCGTAGCACTTATACACAGCGATGATCTGTAGTCGATCATCTTCGTGATGGGAGGCAAGTACGAGGTGAGGTCACGAGGCTTGACGGTGGCCAGGGCATGATTCTGCGGTGCGATAGACTGGCGCCGTTAGTCGTTGACAGTCAACTCGTGGCAGGCATGCGGACGTTTGGAATCAGTCTAGTGTGTGTATGATGTAGTTCGATGGAAAATCGTTTGAAACCTCAAGAATTTGTCATTGGCGAAAGCTTTGTCTTGTAGATAGATGTAATGTACCATGATCAGTGACCCATAAACTGAATACATAGTATTCAATGACTCAACTATAAGTTAATACTGACTTTAGTCGATCGGCCTTTGATATCATATCTGCGATCTTTTAACCAAGTTCCACCAGACAGGACAATGGCGGCTTACTGAGCTCTAATGCTTGAGGCATTTGCTGCATTTGACAAGGCTACACTTCAAATTCCCCCGGCTGTAATATCTGATTCTCCTCTCCCTCCTCCTCTTCATCCTCCTCCACCTCCTCCTTATCCTCTTCTTCCTCCTCCTCCATCTCCTCATCCTCCTCCTCCATCTCCTCCTCTTCATTCTCCTCTACCTCCCCTCATCGTCTTCTTGTTCCTCTTCCTCCTCCTCCTCCTCCTCATCTCCTCCTTCTCATCCTCCCTCCTCCTCCATCTCCTCCTCCTCCTCCTCCTCCTCCTCCTCCTTCTCCTCCTCCTCCTCCTCTTCATCCTCCTCCACCTCCCCCTCATCCTATTCTTCCTCCTCCTCAACCATCTCATCCTTCTCATCCTCCTCCTCCTCCATCTTTTCCTCCATCTCCTCCTCCTCCTCTTCCTCCTCCTCCTCATCCTCATCCTCCTCCACCTTCCCCTCATCCTATTCTTCCTCCTCCTCCCCCTAATTCGCCGCATCCTCCCCATCCTCCCACCAAACACCTCAAGTCAGCTGTACATAATCATTTAGTCACGTCTGGTATTGTCTGCTTTGGTTCGCTATTGCAGAGGTTGACATGTGCGCAGGGTGTGAGACAATCGAGTCGTTTGTCGGGTGAATAACGGGTTGCTGGGGGGTTGATCATGTCAGCTATAGGGTGCTATTAGTGAACAGACTGGTGCACTGATTTGTTCGCAGAGTCGCAGCTGTTAGCATGGCGTGTACTTTCCCTTTCCAAGGCAAAGCAATTAGGACGAGTATATATAGAGCCGGTGAAAGTATTTGACGTCATTCGGTATACGTGCCTGTGCATGCGTGCCTACACCTAGGCACGTTATTAAAAACAAGGGCCGTGCATATTGGCCGTGTGTGAGTGTGTGCGTGTGTGTCACACACGCACACACACTGTGTATGTGTGTGTGTGTGTGCGTGCGTGCGTGCGTGCGCGCACGTGCCTGCGTTATGCTCGTCAAAGCATGTCCTGTCTTACTCTGTTTCCTGGCGTGTACTATTCCACCAAAGTGAAGTTCAATTTCCTCAGGTACCTTGCTGAAATATTATGTGCATGGAAGCAAAGTTTGCTACCATAGATCAATGGAGATGCTGGTTGAATATAGCAGTGTGGTTGCTAGATGCACGAAACGTTACATAATTATAAACCGCGTGTTTATAAATTAATCATGCACTTTTTTCTCATGTGTAACTCTTTGTGTTCGCATCGTAAGCTGACCAGCCTTTCCTGCAAACTCCTGCTTCTTGGTGTATATAAATACTGTAATTGAGGAATTTCGCCGCTTCAACGTTTTCCTCTTGTCTTCCGTCGCAGACATCACGAAAGGACCTGCTGGCACTGGACTTTGAGGGAATCCTGAAATACTTCAGAGTGTCGCTGCCGAAGAAATATCGCACGGAGGAGCACGCGCGCGAGTTACTGCAGGTCGCCATGGGTCTCAAGGTAGGTGGCGCCACCACAGCTGCCCTCTACTACATATTCACTAGTGTGTATGTGGTATGTATGCGTGCGTGTGTGCGTGCGTGTGCGCATGCGTACATGTGAGTATGCATGTGTGCACCTTTTCGTGTTGGTGGGTATGTTTGCGTACGTGCATATGCGTGCAAGAGAAAAGCTATTTCCATCTCCTCTGTGTTACTTTCGTTTTTCGTTATTTTTAAATCTTTAATGAAGAAGATAAGATAAGTTAGGGACTCTGTGATAGAGTGTACTAAGTTACACTCTTACGGAAAATTTTCGAACACTTAGAAAGTCTACTTGGATAGTAATGACACGAGAAGCCTTTGACGGAGACGATGGTAACGTCATCATGTTGATGATTAAGTGGCGGGTGTTATTTTCGCGTGCAGTGCTGTAGTTTATTACAAATATTTCACCTGTAGACAGCCAGGGAGTGATGACATAAAAGGCCGAGTTTTAGCATCCCTGCACCTAGCGGTTGACATAGTGATCACTAGTTGTTGCTAGGATTCGATGTTCATAACAAGCTGAAGCGAAAACCTGACCCTGGCTGACTGTACTCTAGACAGGTTTTACACAGACATAGGTTGTTACATGACAATTAGTGACAACTAGTATGACATTTAGTGATGCTGTTCATGACAGTGTTATTGCTGCTGCTAGTAATAATAATGATGATGATGCTACTGCTGATGTTGAAGGTCACAATGATGACAAAGGTGAAACTGTATTTGTATAAAATAATGCATAAACAATCATAGAATGCTTGTGATTGTTGCAACGTTCTAACGTTTTGCTGCAGAAGTCCAACAAGAAGTTGAAGAAGTATGAGAAGGAATACATAACAATGAAGGAGCAGGAGCTGCAGCAGGAGGACCCTGTCACTCGCCTGGAGGTACGCGACCTCACATGCCCACGGGGGGCAACACAGTCCTGCAGCGCATTCATAGATTGAAAGTGCTGCAACCACGACTGATGTTTTCCCTCGCAGTTTTCGCGTAGAAAATTTGTGTGTGTGGCGTAAAGTTTCGCCTAAACTTTATTTACGACGGCTCGAATGACATTAAAGCCTGTCATTACGGACCTTCTGTGGAATTGAAGTATCAAGTATACTTTGTAATTCGCATTTAGAAGATACAGGTTAGATGCAGGCGCTTGTTTGCCATCTTGCTAAGGTACAGCATGGTATCATTAGCTACGCTAGCGAAGGCTTTCTTACACGAAGCTTATTATTTACTCGTTGCTGGGGTAACGGCATCGTTAGCGAGACTGACAGAGGTTTTCGTTAGATGCAAATTATTATTTACTCGTTGCTGGAGTAACGGCGTCGTTAGCAAGACTAAACAGGGTTTTTCGTTACATTCGAATTATTATTTACTCGTTTCCGGAGTACTGGCGTCGTTAGCGAGATTAACGAGGGTTATCTCTGTGCAGCGAGAGAACAAGCGACTGCAGGAGGCAAACATGAGGTTGGAGCAGGAGAATGATGACCTTGCCCACGAGCTGGTGACGAGCAAGATAGCCCTGCGTAACGAGCTGGACATGGTAAGTCTCTCATACATCACACACCTCCCCTCCCTGCCCGCACACACACAAACAGACACACACACACACACACACACACACACACACCACACGCTCGTGCGCACGCACACACAGCGAGCTAGACATGGTAGGCCTCTTACACATCATCCCGCCTCACATATACACCCTCCCCTCGCTTCTTCTTTCCCTGCCTACACACACACAGCGAGCTATGCATGGTAGGTCTCTGACACATCATCCCGCCTCA